TCTTATTATTATTATTACTATTATTACTCTTCTTATTACTCTTCTTATTACAGTTCTTCTTATTATTATTACTCTTCTTATTACTCTTCTTATTACTCTTCTTATACTCTTCTTATTACGCTTCTTATTACTCTTCTTATTACTCTTCTTATTGTTATAATTACTATTATTACTATTATTATTATTATTATTATTATTACTCTTCTTATTACTCTTCTTCTTTTTATTATTACTATTATTCTTCTTCTTATTACTCTTCTTATTACTCTTCATTTTACTCGTCTTCTTCTTATTATTATTACTATTATTACTCTTCTTATTACTCTTATTATTATTATAATAACTATTACCATATGTATTTTTAGTTTACAACTTTATACCCCTCGAGTCCTGTCTGCACATTGGGTCCAACTTGTACCAAACATGATAATCAGCTGTAATTCAGGTGAGTCTTCAGTCAACACGCCTGAAGTGAGTCAGGAAGGATACATCCATCAGGTTGATGATACTGTGACAGGTGCTGAGACTTAGGCCATCAAATTTGATCTCTCTTCCTGAGGACAGAAAGGACACATCCCTTAATAAACATGATGCACATACTTGGTACTCAGTGGTGGTTTTCCAGACTTACGTCTGCTGAGGACTCCATTCAGCATCTGCTGAAGCTCTCTGACACAGATGGCCTTGTCCTGTAAACACCAGGGGGAGGAGAGAAGACAGTTTATGAATGTACTCGTACTTCTATAAGAAATCAGACATCTAATAATCAAAAAAAAATCAATTGATTAAAATGTTCAACTTTGGTGCTGAAGGTTTTGTTGCATTCTTTCAACCACGTCTTTAAAGACCATTAGTGTACAAAATATCCTACAAACTAAGGATGTATGCAGTGTTTCTTAAGCTGTACACGTTGAAATGTTTGCCATATTGATTTTCTTTATTGATATCAGCACTAAGAGCTGAGGCTGATGGGAAATGGAGTTGTAAAGCAGAGTTCTGAACAAACTGAAGGTCTAGATGTTTGACCAGAGGTTTTAGACAAGTTCAGACATTTCTCTGAACCAGCTGTAAAAGGTGTTTCTTACCGAACCAGCGAGCTGATCAAACAGCCTCCTCAGACCTTTCTCTTCATCCGTCTCCTCCTCAGGTGCGCTGGGCATGGGCGGCTGCAGAACAGAACCAAATCAATCCAAACACAACTGGCTTCCTGTCTGGACCAGTGATCAGGTGTGATTTACTTACGTCTGGCAGGTCAGCATCCACAGTGGTTCCCATCTCTCTGTGGAACAAAACAAACCGCTCTCAGAACCAGGAAAACACTTCAGATTTATTTTTACACCAAAAGCTCTTCATGAAACCAAGAAAAACAAATTTGAAATGAGTATTTGAAGCTTTGCAGTAATTTTTTTAACCAAAATCAAAATGTTTATGTTGGATTTACTTAAATAAATTATGTCAACATGTTCTACTCAATTGATTTGAGTAAACCTAACACAATTACTTCACATTTACTTTTAAAGTAAAAGAAAAAAATGCTTTACATTGACTCAGTTACGTTGTGTAGAACCTGTTGACATAATTTATTTAAGTAAATCCAACTCAAATGTTTGGATTTYTTAGTGCATTTATGACAGAAATGGGACGTTGTACGAAGTGTGAATAAAAGAAAACAAACCCAGATTTTTTCTCTGTGGAACATAAACACATCAGAGTTGTAAAGTAACTAAGTACAAATACTTCTTTACTGTACTTAAGTAGAATCTTTGGGTACTTTACTTTAGTAATTATTTTTCAGCCTACATTTTACATGTACTCCTTACATTTTTACACAGTTATCTGTACTTTCAACTTATCACATTTTTTAAAAAGGTAAGAATTAGAAAGTTGTTACTCCTATTTTATTACAGCTTGTTGTTAAAAAATATTATCCTCCAGGAT